AAAAAAAAAAAAAAAAAAAAAAAAAAAAAAAAAAAAAAGTTCCTTTCGGGTTACTTTAGAAAGAGAGTTCAATTGTTATTCTTTTTTGTAATAAATTACTCTATATAAATTCGAGATAGGAGAGTTTTATCGAGATGCTTTGGGCTTGGGTTGAAAGATGCATATTTGGGAAGAGTTTTTAACGATGTACTACAATGCAATCTTTTCTTACATATTGTGCAATGGGAGTTGTCGTTATCTCTTCGTAACTTTATACAATATCATAAAATGTTCGTTTCATATGGAACTTCATCACTGAAATTTTAGAGCTCCCTTAGAACTAAGAACCAAGCAGTAAACATCGAACAAATAGAAAAGTCAACTAACCTTTCGTATTTGATATACCAAGCATTCTTTGAGCCATCTGAGGGAGGAATTCTTTTTCTAACTGAACAAAAATGAGCACTGAGAGCATAGATTAAATAACGATAAAACTTTTATGGCCAGTATGATAAGTGAAAATAATCCTTTGTTCACTGAAAAATAGATCCTTGTACGTTGTAACTTTTAAGCATCTTTTGCAACTAGAATAACCCACTTTCCATGAAAGATTCATACTCTAAAACGGTAGAAGAGGAAAATATATAATCATTTTGGGGTGGATCATTCATAATTTCCTTTTACAGAACTTCCAGTAGCCCAACCTTACAAAAGGTACTACTATTAAAACTTAAGAAATTGGTACAAAAGATCAGTCCCTCACAAATAAAGCTCGTGGTGAATTTTGAGAGTCTTGAGCTGACCAGAAGAAATGATGAATTTTGAGAGTCAAACGAGTAAGTTCATTTTATAGTGCACAAGTCATTGCAAAATGCCCCACCATAGGTCCTTAGTCTTTCAAAGAAAGATTTATGATATATCCAATTGTTTTCAAAACAACTTGGCCAATTTTAATATCCTTTTGACACCCAATAAGAGCTTATGCTTCGAGAGCCCAAGCTTAGGAAATAACTGGTTTCCTTGGAAGTGCCAAAGTTTTGGAAATAACGATCCTCTTTATCTAATTTATTTTATGAAACAGGACACGTTCTTCCTTTTTCTCAAATCTCGACTGTTTTGTACAACCGATTTTGGCGTATGACGCACACAAATTGCTACGTGTCAATCATAGTAGTGTTTCATAAACGCCTTCATCCATAAGTTTATGGGTTTTCTTATCCATGGCAACAACACAAGTCGAGAGAAATAGATCCAAACCATGCTATAGGTCAAACATGAACCGGTATCAGCTCAAAATGATTAGCCCTAAAAAAAGAAGCAAAATAGAAAAAAGAAGAACAATTTTAAACAATCGAACCGAGAGCATGAGAAAACGATGACACGGTAAAAAGAAAAGGGCAATAGAATCAAATAATAATGTTCAAGGAGATTAAAGAGGTAAAGACGAACTAACCTAATTGAAGATTCACGTCATACATTGGCAGTTTTGGGAATGAGATTAATCCCCTTCTTCAAGTTGGCCTCCTCCTCACGGATCTTCAGCATCTGAAATATCCTCTCCATAACGAGCTCATATTCACACTTCTCGTAGGAATGGCGCTCGTTTTCGCATTTCCATGGGAGGTAGAACTCTGATTGGCGACACTTATTAAGAAGGATCAACAAGTGAGCGCACAGGTCTCGGTAAGGGATTGGAGCCCTAGCCTCGACCATCTCAGCCTGCGTCGCTATCATCTTCTTCGAGGAGCCCGACACTTCCATAATGATCTACTCTCTTCGGCTGTCGCCCCGGTTCGTGAGCTTGCTGTGAATATCAATGGCCGTCCATCGCAGTTGAAGTAATCTGGTAAACAGACTCTGCTGTGCGGAACAAATGGGTCTGATCATAGAATATGGGCTGCACTTGGAAAGGGGTTTTTTCTATTATTATTGCAGAAAATAAATTTACGATCCTGAATTTTCTTAATTAATAAGGATATTAATTTTTTTTAAACCCATACAAACTCCGAAATAGAGTGAATAATGGAAAATGAAATAAAACAAACAACGCAGGGGCCGTTTAGGAGGAGGAACATGAGGGTGAAAATGGATAGGGGTTATTGTTTACACGAAAGTTTGATAGTATTAACACCAAACACAATTTTTTTTTTTCTTATTTTTCTTAGACGGTTTATTCTCAAGCATTTTAGATAAACCTCCGATCAAACTATTTCTATACTTTCTGCGGCTTAAAATGACAAATTAAGAACAAAAAGTGTGATGATTTAATAAAAATATTCTTTAATTTAGTAATTTGTCTAAAATATTTAAAATTGAAAAAAAAATGTTTTTATGGTCGATTTTAAATGAAAACTTTTAAAAGACTCTAAAAGACTCAGTAACAATTTTTTTTAATTATATTTTGAGTTGGGAAGAACCAACTTTAAAACAAATTAATCTTAATTTAGCAAAATTAAAAGGTGCCAACCAAAAAGTTAGGTGCATTATATACTTACATATTTTACATCTTATTAGGATGGAACTTCAAAAAAAAAAAAAAAAAAAAAAAAAAAAAAAAAAAAAAAAAAAAAAAAAAAAAAAAAAAA